CCCCCCCACCCACGCCAGCCGGCACTAACCGGGAGGCTGAGCAGGGAACCGGCTCCCCCCTCCCGGAGAGAGCTCCCTGCAGGGCAGCGTCACTGAGTGGTACCCGCTGCGGGGAGGGGCTGACACCCCAGCTGGGCAGGAAAAGCATCAGGGCCGTTTATCTGCCCGAAAATCCCACGCTGGGCAAAGTGCAGCCAGGCCCCTGTGCGCAGCCTGGGATGCCAGGCCCGGTGCCTCCAACCGCCCGGCCCGTTTACCCTGGGCCCAAGGGTCTCCGCTTCTGTAAGAATCCACCCGTCACCTCCCTCCAGGGCTTCCCTGGGAGGCCTGGCGCCCAGCCCAGCCCTGCACCAGGGAACCAGATTGCTTTGTTTTCTGGCTGCCCATTGAACACACGATCGCCGCGGCCTCTGCGTGCCAAGCAATGCCCCTGATCTTCGGAGCCCGGGGTACCTCCCGTGACCCCGTGGACTCAGCTCGGCGCGCCCACCTCCTACCTCTCTGCAGGGCCTGTGCGCTCCCCTCCGCTTCGGTCAATAAAGGAAAGAAAGCCCAGAGGAGGAAAAACCAGCTGGTTTGAACAGGGGTGCCCTGCCTGGGGGAGCAAGGGGCCTCCATACTCCGGCCCACCTGCGGGGCTGGGAGCGTGTGGGTCCCACCGGCGCGGTTCAGGCGGGGCCGCAGGCTGCTCTTACTCGGGGTTAATGTGGGGATGCAGAAATCCACCGCCCCATGAACCACTTGGGACCACAACAGCTTCCAGCCCAGGGCAGCCCCACCCCCAGTTAACTAAAGCGATGCAGTGTGGTCGGCCACCCCCACCCAGCCGGCTGCCCGGGCCCCGCTGGCCAGCCTGAGCCGGCTCCCCTCCTGGGCCAGGGCAGCGGGTGTCGTTCAGCGCAGCCTGGAACAGGCTGGAAGGGAGGGTGCTGGGGTTGGGCAGAGGGTCCTAGGGGAGCAGCCTGGTCAGGACAGCAGCCGGGGTTGCCAGATGGCTGAAACAAAAATACCAACCCCCCCCCCCCAAAAAAAAAAACAGG